TCAGATACATAAACAATTCCCGGATTTTGTATAAGAGGTCATTTCTGTTTGGCGTATTCCTGTCTGAAAAGTGCAACATTCGTAGCAACAGAGTGACTCTCTTGCAGGGAAGGAGGTCACAGAAGACTGGAGTACTGATGAAGTGGTCTGTGGACCAGTAGTGTGCTATATTGTTCTTATAGGTGTGTGGCATAAGCATGATAGTGCCAAGGAATAAATACATTTCAGCCACAGTTGTATCTTTCCACCTGCACAGCCGTGAAGACTCTGAAACATCTGTGTGGTCCATTGTATACTGGTAGTACATGTTGGTCTGGGTAACAATTAGGTTCATTATCGGCTCATCAAAGTATAGTTGAAAATAGTCTAACTCTGTAGACTCATTTGTGATGGGACAGTGTGGCATGATGTCACTTCCACTGGCATCAAAACTGAAAGGATGTGGCACAAATGGTGTACTTTCTGTCCAGTTCCATTCGCGGTCACATGGTGCAGGGTGGACCTGTGGCATGGGGTGTGGGGGAGCAGGAGGGGGGACAGGAGTGGAGGCAGCACATGGTTGAGAGGGTGCCGGGCAGTCTTTTGTCTGCCCACCCACTGCACCATGAGGTCCAGGCACCATGCCACCCCCCCCCTCTTCCTCCATCCCAGCATATTCACCTTCATTATCACTATCACTATCAGTGGCTGGGGTTTCAGATCGTGACCTGTCATGACCCTTGCCACCGACTACATATGGCACACTGCCTGAACATAGGTTACGACGCCTAAAAGTACATTTCACTGGGGAAAAATAATAATCACTTTCACTCGACAAATCGTCTATCGGCATAAAATCTATTTCATCATCATCACTTATATCACTTTCACTATCGTCATCACCATAACACATGGAAAATGATAATTTCCTCTTGCAGAGTTGCCTTTAGGAAGTAACACTAGCAACCCCAGAGGTGCTGGGCTGAGGGTCTGTTGTGGCCACACTGGCCACCTCAGAAGTGCTGGGCTGAGGGTCTGGTATGGCCACACTGGCCACCCCAGAGGTCATGACCTGAGGGTCTATTGTGGCCACACTGGTCACATTAGCCACACTAGCCACCTCAGAAGTGCTGGGCTGAAGGTCTGGTATGGCCACACTGTCCACACTATCCACACTGGCCACCCAAGAGTTCATGGCCTGAGGGTCATCTGGGTTATCAACAAAAGTTTCACTAATTCCTTGATCTTTAGTGGCTATATCAGAGTCAAAACCACTAAACTCGCGTTCTGTATCACTTTCCGGGAATAGTAGAGTGTTAATATGCTGAGGCGTCAGTGAATCACGGGGGTTTGCCATGATGTTGATCCAAGATGGAGCTGAAACTAACTGGTGTTACCACACGGTACCCCAGCGTCCCCAATTTTTTCAGTGTGCTCACACTGAGTGCACACATGTATTCTCTCATATCAAGGCGACTCAGGCCTATTGCGCCAATTTTGAAGGAATGAAAAATAAAACATTGATCTACGTTCGGAGCCTGCCGCACGTGAACGTATATCTACGTGTGGACAGTTTAGGGGTTACGGCAGCATGTGTGCGAGTGTGAATTTATTAATCCCTTTCAGGGTTTCGGCCGTACTAGTATGGCTTACGCACCAGGGTTTTTGACGTACTAGTATGCCTAAATTCTAGCGCCCTCAAATCTAGTGAGAGAAAGCTGGTAGGCCTACATATGAAAGAATGGGTCTATGTGGTCAGTGTGCGCAATATAAAAAAAATCCTGCAGCACACAGTGCGTAATGAGAAAAAAAAAAACTTTGACCGTGTTTTTGGATTAAAACAGTGACTTTGCACTGTATTTTTGTATGGTATTTATTGTTGTATTCTAGTTTTCCTGGTCTCATTTTATAGAATGGAAGACATATTACAGAAATTGAGATGATTTTGACTGGTTTTACAATGAAAAGTACCTTGAAATTGAGCTCAAAGTAGCAGAAATGTTCGATTTTTACCAAAGTTCAAAAGTAAATAAATCATGCTAAGCATCCAATACATATCAACTGGTGAGTCTAATATTCTTTCACAAGTGCGCTGATATTATTTATACCATTTTTACACTAATGTAGTAGTCTGCATAACAGTAAATCTTCTATTTTTTGAGAATAAAAATTCAAAGTGGAAAGCACAAGAATGTAAGAGGGGCGTGGGGACGTGACTAATGAACAGAGGAAATGTTATTTTAGTGCCAGGAATGTCTTTTTTGTTTATTCTGGACCTTATTTAGAAATTGGCATCTTTTGAAATTTGTGTGAAATTGGCAAAATTGCTAAATTCTGACCACTGTATTGGATAGTTGAAATCGGTAAATGGGTGGTTTCTTGTACTCATTCGATAGAAAAAATGGAGTTCTAGCGAAATAGTTATGATTTTTGTCAACTAGTACACTGAAATTGGCCAAAAATAGGGCTCGAAGTGGGCAAAATCACCGATGCGTAAACATTGTTGAGACCGCTAACTTCGCGAGAGCATAATTCCGTAAGTTTTCCATCAAATTTCATACTTTTGGTGTCATTATGATCAGGAAAAGATTCTCTATCTTTTCGTAAGAAAAAAAAAATTTTTTTTTTGAAATTTGGGTGACCCTGAGAACAAGTTTGCGAGAGGGCCTGGGGACCCTGAAAGGGTTAAATAAACAGCACTCTAGAATAATGAGATCCCAAATTATTATTATTATTATTATTATTTTTATTATTAATATTACAGAGTTGACATGCATTGAACATGTGCGTGAGCTGGTAAATGTCACAATGTGAAACTAGGCCTAAAAGGCTTATATTAACCCTGTCTGCACTTTTCAGTAATACCTAATAGACTGTGAGGCAAGTTATACAGCATTCATTTTGACCTCCTAGAGAAGTTCAAAAAAATTCATTAAGAAATGTGACTGGAATGTAAGCATATTTTTTCAATATGTTCTCAACTTCACATTACATGTTTACGCAGTAGAATAGTAAAAATAATTAATAGGATAATTTGGTGGACTGGAACACAACCCTATTTTTCTTATTTGTTCTTCACTTCACATAACACTAATTTCCATAAGATCCTGATTTTCTGGACCTTATCCTGAGCATTATAAGAGAGTTTAATGCACTAATTTAGGTTTTCAAATTTCCACACATTGTTCATGTAACTTTTCCATGTGTTTTTTATGTTAGACACTCTTCCCTGTAATGCCTCATGTAATGTGGGTTTTAAAAAACTAGTGCTATTATGTACACCCATGTACTAAACCTTTTATTGTGTTATTTTTCATATACAGTATATTTTATATTTTGATTTCATACAATATAACTTAGATTTTTTTATTCATGAATCATTTTGCAAGCTGTATCTCTTTTTATGTTCCTATTAATGGCTGGTATTAGACCATAAATATTAAAAAAAATAAAAACATATTGAGATTTAGACAACAATGAATTTTGACTGAAATGAGGCGCATTGTATGGACCTCCAGATTATTTTATCTTCTGTATGATAATTTTGAAAGAACAATTGCATTTTATTATATTGTTCTATTATACAATTGCATTATTGTATTATGCAGCTGTATTTTATTGTATTATTCTATTATACAATTGCACTATTGTATTATACAGTTGTATTTTATTGTATTTTTCTATTATACAATTGAATTATTGTATTGTATCATTGTATTTTATTGTATTACAGTATGGAATTGACTAATAATAATAATATTATTGACTCAATAATATTTCAAGTTCAGGTTATTTTATTGGTTTTATTAAGTAATATATGCAATGGTCACTGACTGATATTTTACAATGATAAGAAAAAAATCAAGAAGGTAGGGATGGTGGTCAAAATTATCCTATTTCTTAGGCAAGCAGACTTGCTGGTTAAGTTCAAACATCAGTTGCTGGCCGGAGAAGTGACCCTAAACTTCATGTGACTAGTGTGACGTACTGTGGACGGTGGTGGATGTCTTAGGTGCGTCACTGTGAACTTTGACCATGGTGAGATGTGCGTACAAATAAGTTACACTTGGGAGAAGGAACGTTTGACAATAATTTCGTCCATCCTGGACCACTGTTGGGTCATAATTGAATGAGAATAAGGCTAAGAAGGCTCAATAGAACAGGAAGAGGAGAGATGAGGAAGAAGCAAGTAGTAGTGGTTAAAGTGGTATTCATTCACTTGTGAACTGACTAGTTCTCACCCTGAGTTGAGGTTGACAAATTCATCTCCCAAATAGCAAAAGGAGGATCGAGCCTTTGTCCTGTTCTTGCAGTAAATGACCCTGACAGATCTGGTGTAAAAAATAAACTGTTGTGACTTGACCGCAGTCCAGGACAGGCTGAAATACCATCATGAGGTTCCACTACCAAGCGAAGGTTATTCTTGAATTATTCCAGCCACTGTACCATAACTTTAACTACTTGTTTATCAACACTGGACATTGAAGGTTACAGGGGCGACCTCACAGCCTTAACTAAGTTACTTACACACTCCTGGAATGCCCTTAAACCTGAGATTACTGGGTCTAACAGTTGAGCTGCCGACAGTACTGACGACTAACACATACATTGCGTACCAGCCTTCACTGGGGCATCGTTCTGGTCTGTTTATGTCTTCATGATGTAACAATTCGCCAAAAACCTGCATTTCTGAGACGACCCTCATAACAATGTTTGGGTCGACCCTGAACAAACCGAAGGCTAGATTTTGGTGAACTGTCCCAGCAGATGAATTGTGACTATTTTACATTTTATTCTTTAAAGATCTAAACAGACTAAAACTTTTGTCCCAATAAAAGATATGGAAGTCTCTCTTTTATTTACCTGAGGTAATTACTCTTATCTACAGAGAATAAATACCTGTAATTAACAGCTACTCTGAGTAACTATAATTAAATCTGAGCCAGCAGTGACACTAAGCAAGGAGAAAGAGTGAGTGAGAGAAAGAGAGAGAGAGAGAGAGAGAGAGAGAGAAAGAGTACCTTGTCTGAGGACCTCCACGCCAGCAGGGTACCAGTGCTCACCCTGCCTGAGCAAGAGGAATACAGTGTTCTCCGGCAGGGTGCAAAAATATTCCGGATCTTCGACCTGCGTGCCGTCAGCCTCCAGGACCACCTTTATCCGCACCTCCCCGAGCTCCAGCTTCTCCCGACCTGTTGGATAACACTTGCATTTATTAAGAAGGAATTTCAGGACATTTTTATACAATTTTTTGCAAATCTTTTTTTTTTTTTGTGAGCTGATTCCTGTCTGTATAAATAACTCCTTACAACTAACCTATTATGACCGTAACATAACTTATTACGACTGTAACCAGATATAAACATGTAAATAGTTTATCACTGTAACTTGTTGAGGTACAGTTCCTGGACCCATTATGTGCCTCTGTAATGTTGAGATACAGTTCCTAGACCCATTATGTAATCCCTGGAGACTTTCAACTTCCAAAACAAGAAGAGTGTGCTAGCCACTGGTTACTGCAAGGGTAGGCCTGGGTCAGTGTGCTAGCCACTGGTTACTGCAAGGGTAGGCCTGGGTCAGTACGCTAGCCACTGGTTACTGCAAGGGTAGGCCTGGATCAGTGTGCTAGCCACTGGTTACTGCAAGGGTAGGCCTGGGTCAGTGTGCTAGCCACTGGTTACTGCAAGGGTAGGCCTGGGTCAGTACGCTAGCCACTGGTTACTGCAAGGGTAGGCCTGGATCAGTGTGCTAGCCACTGGTTACTGCAAGGGTAGGCCTGGGTCAGTATGCTAGCCACTGGTTACTGCAAGGGTAGGCCTGGGTCAGTATGCTAGCTGCTGGTTACTGCAAGGGTAGGCCTGGGTCAGTATGCTAGCCACTGGTTACTGCAAGGGTAGGCCTGGGTCAGTGTGCTAGCTGCTGGTTACTGCAAGGGTAGGCCTGGGTCAGTGTGCTAGCCACTGGTTACTGCAAGGGTAGGCCTGGGTCAGTGTGCTAGCCACTGGTTACTGCAAGGGTAGGCCTGGGTCAGTGTGCTAGCTGCTGGTTACTGCAAGGGTAGGCCTGGGTCAGTGTGCTAGCCGCTGGTTACTGCAAGGGTAGGCCTGGGTCAGTGTGGTAGCCACTGGTTACTGCAAGGGTAGGCCTGGGTCAGTGTGCTAGCCACTGGTTACTGCAAGGGTAGGCCTGGGTCAGCATGCTAGCCACTGGTTACTGCAAGGGTAGGCCAGGGTCAGTGTGCTAGCCACTGGTTACTGCAAGGGTTGGCCTGGGTCAGTGTGCTAGCCGCTGGTTACTGCAAGGGTAGGCCTGGGTCAGTGTGCTAGCCACTGGTTACTGCAAGGGTAGGCCTGGGTCAGTGTGCTAGCCGCTGGTTACTGCCAGAGTAGGCCTAGGTCATTGTGTTAACCAGTGGTTACTACCAGGGTAGGCCTACCCACTGGTCACTGCCAGGGTAGGCCTGGTTACTACACTGACTGCTCCTACTCCTCATGCTACATGGAGCTATCAAACTGTTCAAAATTGCTATTTTTGTGCACTTTTTGGGTGAAATTCTAGGGTGGTGCACATCACAGTGCACTGCTCTGTGAAGTACAGTGGCGGGTGTCAGTGCACTCAGTTGGTACATTAACCCTTTCACTGTCGAGACCTCTGATCATAAACCTGCTCTCAGTGTCGAAAAATATTCTAAAAAAAAAAAAAAAAAAAAAATCTTTCTTACCAAAATCTTAAGGTTTTTCTGATTGTTTTAAAATAAATTTTTTTTTTTGTGATCAGTACATACTGAGATACAGAGGCATGAAGTTGACAGAAAGTGAACTGCTTACGGCAACATCGGCGACTGCCGCTCACTCGGTAATATTATTTTTACTTTTATTCTAGTTTTTTCTTTTTTTGTTTCTAATATTTGATTTTTTTCAAGTAACTTTTGTGGCCTGTATTACAAAAAAAGTGATTTTTAAGATGGTAGTTTACTCATTTTGTAATAAAGAGTTTGGGATACATAAATACACGTTAAAATAAATGAATCTTTAATAAATATAAAAATCAATCTTTGGTTTAGAGGTATTTAACCCTTTCAGGGTCCGTCCCATAGATCTACGGCTTTGCGTTCAGGGTCCAAACCGTAGATCTACGCCATGAGCTCAGCTCACTCTGATAAACTGTGAGTGGTACATTTGGGCCTAGATATGAGAGAATACATCTATGTGGTATGTGTGCACCACATAAAACAAATCCTGCAGCACACTGTGTATAATGAGAGAAAAAAACTGAAACCAAGATTTTCGATTAAAACAGCAACTTTGCAGTGTTTTTTCGTATGTTTTTTATAGTTGTATTTGCAATTTCTTGGTCTCATTTGATAGAATGGAGGACATATTACAGAAATAGAGATGATTTTGATTGGTTTTAGCACTGGAAATGGCTTGAAACTGAGCTCAAAGTAGCAGAAATGTGAAATTTTTGCCGATATTCAAGAGTAAACAAACGACCTCACACGTCTAATACACGCCAGCTGGTCTAATATACATTCACAAATATGTTGATGATATTTATACAGTTATTACAGTATTGCATAACAGTAAATCTTCTATTTTTTGGTGTGAATAAAAATTCATTATGTGAATAAAAAATCAAAATGGGATTTATTTGTAAAGCCTCAAAACGTAACTAATGAACCGAGGAAATGTTACTTTAGTGCCAGGAATGCCTACATTGTTTATTCTGGACGCTATTTTGAAATTGGAATATTTTGAACTTTGTGTTAAATTGGCCAAATTACCAATTTCCGATCACTTTATTTTGTAGTTGAAACAGTTGACTTGGCGATTTCTTGTGCTCAATCGATAGAATAGAAGTAATACTAGTAAAATAGCTAAGAATTTGGTCGACTGGAATGATGTAATTGGCCTAAAATGGAAGTCAAAGTCGGCAAAATCGCCGATTCGTAAATATCGCTGACACATCAAAATTCGTGAGAGCATAATTTCGTCAATTTTCCATCAAATTTCGTACTTTTTGTTTTATTACCTTCACAAAAAGATTCTCTACCATTTCATAATAAAAAATAAAAATTTTTGGGGGGGAAAATTCTTGGACACTGGGGCACCACTTCAGATTTTGGCCTTGGACCCTGAAGGGGTTAAAATATATATACATGTTACAATAATAAATTATTAGCATCTTAAAATAATAATATATATATATATATATATATATATATATATATATCTATACTAAAATAATAATTTATAAATAACATTTGTATAATAATAAATTATGATCAACTCCGTGTCTCACACGACACTTATAATGATGCTCTGTGTCCCACACGACACTTATTCGAGTTGTGACGCTCCTTCTCCACCGTGTCACTCGACACCCTTTTCACCGTGTGATGACGCTCCTTCACAACCGTGTCCCTTGACACCCTTTTCTCTGTGTCACCAGACACTCCAGCTCTCCGTGTCACATGACAACCTTTTCTCTGCGTCATCCACACCCTTTCTCGACTGTGTCACACTTGACACCCTTGTCTCTGCGACACACTCACTATCGACGTAGCGTCTTTCGAGAGGCCAGTCACATGATACTATTCAATGTACACTACAACCAGGCCATCTTCAGTGTCACAAGACACCCTTTTCTTCTCAGTGTTCCACTATGGTCCTGTAGCATATCTCGGTGTTCCACTCCATTATACTTGCTTAAGTGTCACACTGTGGTCCTAGCCCAGTTCAGTGTAACACTCCAACCTTTTCTTCATGTAATGTCCCACTAAAACAGCATCAGTTGACTTAGCCCACAGTTGACCAGTGTAGGCGGTGAATCCGCAGACATCACCGGTAGTCCTGTAAATACTCTCTAAGGCCGGTAGAAGTACACCGTAAGATGGTCTGGTGAGTACTATCTACTGCCTTCAAGACCAATTGACACACCGCAAGGTGGTCCGATGAATTACTAGCAGAACACCATGCTGCAAGCTCACTGAGTGCGGCCGTCAAGTAACTGAGGCCATCAGACTCAGTGAGCTGCGGTGAGCGGCTCTTCTAAAATCAGTAGAAGCCAGTAGAATACCAAAAGATGGGCAGGAGAATATTCTCTACTGCCAGTAGATCTATACTGTAAGGTGTTCTGGTAATTACTGCTTAGCTGCGTACCGTGAGGTGTTCAGGTACTTACTGCTTCTAAAGCCAGTAGATGTGTACCATGAGGTGTTCAGGTACTTACTGCTTCTAAAGCCAGTAGATGTGTACCGTGAGGTGTTCAGGTACTTACTGCTTCTAAAGCCAGTAGATGTGTACCGTGAGGTGTTCAGGTACTTACTGCTCTAAGGCCGGCTCAGCAGTCCCCACAATGGGTTTGATGACGTACCCAGTGGTACTGCCGGCCGGCAGGTTAACCATTTAACCACTAGTTTGGTAGGGGGCCGCAACAGCCTGTGAGACCAATATAATGCATAATGTATATATATATCCACTCATTGTATGGAACACAATAACTGTACAAACATTGCTGTCATTATATTTACAAAACTGGTTTACACCAACCCATGCTGTCTTCCCCACCAGTCATGCTGTCTTCCCCACCATCCAAGCTGCCTTCCCCAACACCCAAGCTGCCTTCCCCAACATCCAAGCTGCCTTCCCCAACACCCAAGCTGCTTTCCCCAACATCCAAGCTGCTTTCCCCACCATCCAAGCTGTCTTCCCCACACCCATGCTGCCTTCCCCACACCCATGCTGCCTTCCCCACACCCACACTGTCTTCCCCACCACCCATACTGGAAATAGTCACTTTGACTTTTTTGGGTTATCCTGGGTTCCCTACACATGTTGCTATGTATGATAATCTATGTAACTGTATTCGTGTATACCTGAATAAACTTACTTACACACCATCTTCCCCACCATCCATGCTGCCTTCCCCAACACCCAAGCTGCCTTCCCCACCATCCAAATTGCCTTCCCCAACATCCAAGCTGCCTTCCCCACCATCCAAACTGCCTTTCCCAACACCCAAGCTGCCTCCCCCACCATCCAAGCTGCCTTCCCCAACATCCAAGCTGCCTTCCCCACCATCTAAGCTGCCTTCCCCAACACCCAAGCTGCCTTCCCCCAACACCCAAGCTGCCTTCCCCCAACACCCAAGCTACCTTCCCCAACACCCAAGCTGCCTTCCCCAACACGCA